AAAACAGGTTGTTATTGTCGTAAACTATAGAATGTGTCAATAAACATATTACAGCGATGTTTAAACATACATATATTAACTTTTGACTTCAACGAAATGTACCGTTACAATTAGGCTTCTATAATATTAATGAATGATTAATGATATTAATTTCACTTGGGGAATTCCTAAAATATCAGTTGCCATGACTAAATCGACAATATAAGTCCCACTCGATTTTATGTTTAATACTTAGGTCTTGAAATTGGGTCAAAATATTAGTAGAACAATTTTAATTGCTTGCCGACTAGTTAATACTTTTTGAAATGACAATGCAAGTTTTTTTTCTTTTTAATTAATTTAAATAGTAGATTAGAACAGTAATTAACAATAACAACTCTATCGACTATTTTATGTTCCGGTTATATAAAAAGGAGTATGGCATTTGTCACCGATTATATTCTAATAGTTATTGCCCGTTTTTTACTATTAGTTATTTATTTAGCAAAGTTACTATCGTATAAAACGTTTCTATAGCATATAATATTTAATAGGATCGCATTAAAACATACTTGAGGTAAAACGCTGATGTGTTTGTTTAGATCTTGCTAATATTATAATTACGATACGTACAAAACAGCTCAACGGATCTTGATGTATTTATTACAGATGTAGAACATAGTTTGTAAGAGCATGAAAAGCATAATAAGTTTTTTTTAATGCCGCGCGGACAAAGTCGCGGGCTACAGCGAGTATGAAATAATTATGTCATTTAATTTCTAGGCTTATGAAACCACAAGATTTGTCGTTATTTATAGTAAATGTGCGAACTGAACCATAAAATTGCTAAAAAATCTTTGGTAACAACATTTATTGCATGACATTCTATATCAAATCACTTAATTATGCTAAACAAACATTTTTACATTTTTTTTTCACGATTAAATGGAAATTTTACGATCGTTATTAATTGTTCGATAGATATTTGTAGACTATTTAAAATAATTATGACGATGACTTCGACGACGCGATGTACCGTTGCTTGACAACATTGACAATAATTTATAGTCAATACAAGTCAACAGCTGATTTGAAAATAAATTGTTTGAATAAACAAGATCTCCAATGTCTTAATGTCCAGTATTTTCTAATTCTGATATTTTTAATAAGATAATATTATAAAAAGCCTATGCCTGCATTCTAAGGGTTATACTGTCTAAGGGCGAAGTGTTTTTTTGGTACCGAAGTCGGGGAGGCCAAAGCTTATAGTTAGTACTTTTACGTTCGTGTATGGCCTCTCAACAATTTTAAGTATACCTTTTTTTTCAGAGACTTTTCATTTTAGAACATATAAATGTTACATTTCGTTGCTTCTCTATGTTTATATTTCAGAAGCTGGTTATAATTCCAATTTTATGTAAAAAATAAAATGATCTTGTATTTTTATGGTACTTTAATTGTTTATTTTAAGATAATAATCTTAAATCAGATCTGAGCTTGAAATAGGAAGAATTTTTTTTTTGTTAGTATTCTTTCTTTAGCTTTTTTATTTCTTTACTTACCCTCAGAGCATAGGCTTGCAGGTTTGCAGTTATCGTCAATAATTGCGTTTGCAATTCTTAATTCAAATCGTAATTTAACGTTTATTTTTGTGGAATATAATTTACTGATAGTATAAAAAATTGCGGGCAATATCCAACTACTTGAGTTCAATTATGTGTCTGGTTCTTTTTATAATTGAGTGTAGTTTTCATTTCTTTATTGTCCTTACTTCATTTATATGCCTACAGACATGATATCGCTTAGATTCGCCTAAAAAAATATCCATTGTCATGTCTGCACAAAAAGAGTTGTTTTCTGCCAAGCACGTCGCACATTATTGTGTTATACAATGAAATAATTAGTTGGTACGGTAACGGGAGATTTTTTTTTTCAATATTAGCCTCATTCTTTGTGAGTTGGTAATTTAATATTTTTTGTAATTGAGCTCTCGATTCCGAGTGGGGGCGCTGAAAAAAATTTACGTTTTGTTCGTTGTTCAAGGAAAAGTTTAGCAAAAGGTGCTACGTTGCCTACAATACGTTTAGTAAATCGATTATTAAATATTTGTTTGTGGATTTAAAAAAGGCAAATCTTTAAATTTAAAAACTGAGAAATGTTGCGAACATCTAGTACCTATTTAATGTGTTTATGAAAAGTGTAATGTTTTGTTTTAATATTTGGACGGCGAAGGAATATCTTAATCACTATGATATTGGTTTAACTTTTAGTAAATTTAATCGCAACGTTTTTTTTTGTTTTTAATAAATATTATTAAGCAAACGCAAATAAATTAATGTTATGACATGAATATTCGTAACTAACCTGTTAATAATTATCAATTTGGTATATATCTGTATGCAAAGTTATTTTTAATGTTCAAATGTTGGTTTTTTGCTTTTACTTAAAGACATGCGTTTTAAAATCTCTGAAATGTCAACGTGCCGTCACGATCGTCTTTTGTCTTAAAAAATGTTTTCACTTTTGTATAAAAACTGTGAACTAGGAATCTGTTATCGCATTGTTGGTCTGCATCCCTCAAACTGCAAAGATAACACCTCCCATGAAGAGTTTAATGCGTGAACTCGTACCATTTGTTTTACGTATTGTTACTGAACAATGTTCCTCACTCGCTGGCAGAAAAAAAAACAATGACTCTTTGTTTCACACCCGTTCAGGTATTATTTAATCTTATAATTATGAAGAAATATTCCATCCTCAAACCTTCAAGTGCATTGTACACCTGTCTTTAATATTTAAATATAGACTCACAGCAGGCGAATGAACAATACAAAAATAAAAAATAACATTTTACAAAAAATTTAATATTATACATATATAAAAAACTTAGGATAAAGGAACCAAGGAATAAAAAATAATAAAAAACAGAAATCAATAATATAAATATTGCATTTATTTCAACGAATTCGGCAAATATAATAACTGCAGATAATAACTATAATAATACTATTCAGTTACAAGACTTTTAATCTTTTATCTAGCTGAGTGACTTCCGTCACTGCAGACGAAACCAAAGACATTTTTCACTGGCTGGCACTGGGCTTTAGTTCCATTTCACTATCCACAACAGTAAATGCACATCGCATATAATTACATTACAATTAAATTATACAAATGAAAATAAAATTATTGGAAGTCGTAATGGAGGCAATTTTAAAATCAAGGACATCTGCCTCGCGACATACACTCCGTTTGAACGACAAAATAATAAACAAAATAAAAAAATAAACCAAAGAACAAAAATAAATACAAACATAACAAAAAATGCAAAAGAAAAAAATAACAAGAAAGCGATATGCAAATAGGTTCAGTCCGTTCTATGTGTTTAACGATCGAGTAAATAAAATTGCATTATACTCTCGGCGCAATAAACTGTAATATTTGCATGTCAAAGATCGATACGGACGTATCTGAATGCGTGAGCCAAGACGGGAGGCGAGAGTTTTCACATAATAAATAGGTGTGGAGAATAGTGACTCCCGCGGCGCGTGCCTAGTGGTGCCTCGCCTTACGCGCGCCGCACACAAGACGACGCACGAGCGTACTTCCTAACATTTAAAATTCAAGTAAATATTTGCATATCGTCTAACTCCCCGATTTTGAACCACTCTTATGTAAATGCGTTAGGTGAATATAAAAAAAACTGCAGCCGGCGACCCCACACGAATCCCACGTCTTCATTATTATGTAAAACACTACAAACTTTTACAAATGTTATGTCTGTAAGTATTTTTGTACTTTTTGCAAAATATATGCGTAGTTCACTAATTAGATACGGTTATATCACAAGTTCTTAAGATGCCTCTACGAAACAAACAATATATTTATTTATATCTACCTATATATAGATACTGCACATCGTGATCCACGTACTAACGGCTATCTGAGACAATTTTACAGCGTTTAAACTTTAAAACCTAATAGTATACTCTTAAACAAACGACTATTTACAGTGGAGCTCTGAGAAATAATTTACAAAACGCTCGGATCTTACAAGGCACCTTATTTAAATAATAATAAAGACTTCAGGCTTCGCTATGACTTTACATAATAACTAAAATGTTTTAAATTCTCTAAAATATATAATTTGGTTTTCATTACAATCCTACAACAATCGACAAGTCGCTAAAACCTAATAGGAGTTTTAAATATGAACAACTAGGAAGAATAATATTATGCAACAGATTTCTAGTATAATGCTTATAAAGCTTCTCGTGTGTAAATATGCAGTGTTGGCTTTCAGTGATTCAGATATCGGTGGATACAAGAAAAGGGTGGCAATGTAAATAAAAGATTGAATCGGTATTAATGTAGTTGCCGAGAAAGTATTATATAGCGTCATTTAAATAATTGATTATTCATGTGGAGCGAAATGCATGTGTGGCAGATCGATCTCATTAGATATACGACGTCCTTCACGCGTCCTAACTCCTACCATTGTTATGTTCCGTTTACATTTGAATAGCGGCGGCGCGGCGCGGCCGCCCACTGCCGCCCGCCTCTCGCGGCTGCCCCGTGCCCTGCGCCCTGTGCCTTCACAGCCGCGCCCGCGCCGCACCTCGCCACTTCGTCACTTCACTCAACCACACATGCTTTCGTTATCTACTAATACTGTTTGTCAATTTAAAATTAATAAATTATTAATTGGAATATGTTACTATACATACTGAAATCATTAAAACTGCCAACATTGCATAATTATCACAAAGTTTTTCACTTTACTCCTAAACCCTATTTATAAAAGGACTCACTAGTAGGAAAAAGACAAACGACCGTCACGGCACGTAGTCAGCTTCGCTCAGTTATTCACTATAACATAATCAAATACTTAGATAAATACTCAATAAACAATATTTAGTTGAGCGAAGCTCGCCGTTCTAAGTTCTACAAAAATAGGTCCGAGATCGCTCAATGCCCGTAAGCACCGGACGATACGGATCGCGGTCAAGTGGTGCACTCACCGTTGCCGGCGAGCTGAGGCCTCAGGAACGCGTTGTGCAATTCGCTGCCGAGGCTGCTCTCCAGGCGAGCCGCCATCTGCATGAGGGCCAGTGTCTTGTCGTCTCCGCCGGCGACGCCGCTTTCGAGGCGCGCGCGGACTGCTGCTATGTGGCCCGGCGTGAACACGTGGTCTTGCACGGAGTACTTGTGACTATACTTGAAGTCGCACACCTGACACTCGTCCGGTGGTGGCGCGTCCGACACCTCAGACAAGCCAGCCGCTAAACGCGCCTTCTTTTCTTTCGCGCGTGCATTTTGAAACCATACTTGTACTACTCGCTTAGGCAGACCGATTTCTCGGCCCAAAGCTTCGCACTCTGCCATCGTTGGTGTTTTGTAGTCGTTAAATAGAGACTTCATAATTTTCACTTGCACTGACGACATTTGAGTACGGAAGCGCTTTCCGGGTTGCCTTGGAGTATGTTGCTGACCCGGTAACGGCGACGTGGGTTCATCTTCTTCGTAAAACTCCATAGTCTCAGATGCAGTATCAGAGCGTTCGTCTGCATCCGATCCAGGGCGCGACAAATCAACGGGCTTGCTGAGATCTAAAGGGATTTCCGATTTTATGTGTACTAGTTGTCTTTCCGTGGGCTCATTAGTTGTACCATTTTGTTGGGCCACAGCATGAGCTTGTAACTCACTCACGTATCGTTTCATTGACTCTTCACTGTACTGCTTGATAAATTTCTCCATGTCTGAGTGAAAAGGCGGGAAAATAGGGGGCAACATGGGAGCCCCCGCTTGGGAAAAATTTTGCTGTCTATCACTTTGTTGTGAGCCAAAACTTGGAGTAGATTCAGTACTTAATTCCTCGTCCGGTAAAGCGTCCACGTTAATTTCTCCTCGTGCACATTGATCGGCGTGTTTTGTGCTCAAATGACTTTCTAATGCACTTTTAACTTTGAATAATGCAGGACAGAACGGACATCTTTTATTTATAACTTGTGCATGAGCTCGAAATTGTCCTTTTCTCTCACGAGCTCGAGTATTTTGGAACCAAACTTGAACTACTCTTTTTTTTAACCCAACTTCTCGTGCAATGTTTTCTAACATTTTCCGCGATGGATTAGATTCTATTTGATACTTTTGGTATAAATAATCAAGTTGTTCTGGTAAAATGGTAGTTCTTAATCGCTTATCTTTTGGCTGTTCTCCTGTATCTATTTCTTCAAACTCATCAAATTTTCGTTTCACAACTTGTTGATTTAATGCTGCTACTAAAGGGTGACGAGATTCATCATTATTTGCGAGTGTAGCATTCAATTGTTGCAACTGGGCATGTTGTTGTAGTATTCCAAAAGGGGAATCTGGTGGATATGTGGGAAATAAGTTTGGGTTCATTATATGCACCAATTGATGTTCTCTCCATAAGTCAAAACGTGGGAAGACTAGATTGCATTTATCACATTGAAAATTGCCATCTTTCTCTTCAGTTCGTTGGTGGTGAGTTAAAGGTGTAACAGGCGTAATTGGGGCTTGTGGTGCTGGTGAAACAGGGTAGGTGGGAGCTGCTGGAGTTGGCGTTCGGGGTGGTGCAGGTGAAACAGGTACGTGAGGAATGTGATGTTCGACAGTACTTGAATTTGAGTCTTCGCTACTCAAAGTAGCAGCGACTTGGGCCGCAGCTGCTTGCGCTTGAGCTGATCGCTTCGCATCTTCTTCTTTAAAACAATGTGTTTTCTGATGTCTAATTAATTCGTAATATCTTTGAAAAACAAGCTGACACTTTTTACATTGATAATTTAAGCCAGGAGTTCGTTGAAATCTATTAGCATCATCGGTAGCTCCTGTAGGAGGCTCAGCAGCTGGTTGATTTTCATATACTTTTCGAGCCTTTTGTCGTGCATTTTGAAACCACACCACTATTACTCTCGGACTTAGTCCTAGTAGTTTTGATAGGTATTCCAGATCATCGTCTTTAGGATAGGCGTTATTTTCAAAAAACTCCTGTAGTACTTTAATTTGATAATCTGTAAATCTAGTTCTGTTGGCGCGTTTGCCAGAAGACCCCGAGCTGTTGGATCCATTCGAGTTGCCCCCGGAAAGTCCGAAATCCGCCGGTCCTCTGCCAGGACTGAGGCTGCGATTTGGGGTCAAAGGTAGGACGTTCGGGGGCACGGAGTTTGGGGACGTGAAATTTGGATTTATTTTTGGTGGCAACATTGATGGATGAGGTGGTTGAGGTATGCTCGTTGCCGGTATCGAATCCAACTGCGATTGAATTAAAGAATTCAAAGACAGATGCGTTGGTGTTTGTGGTCGAGAAATACTTTGTTGAAGATCAGAAGTATTCAGAGCCGGACTTTGCGATGGGACTTGAGGAAAAATAAAGCTTTTGTCCTCTTGATGTCTGTCATCGTAGGAGTTATATTTTTCTTCCATTGTTGGTTCATCACTGGGTTCAGATTTTACCTCTTGATGAATTATGGGTGTCGGGTCTTCAGTTTTTGCCTTTTTTTCTGGTGGTGGTTTGCCTTCATCGGAGCTCGCCGATGAATCTAAAGGTGTAACTTTTGCTTCGCCTGTTTTCTCATACTCTTCCAGATTAAGAGTTGTCGAAGGTGGGTTGTTGAAATTGTAAGGGGAGTCCTTGTTTCGTTGACGTTCTTTGAATAAAGTATTTCGGAACCAGTGCTTAATTACTTTTGTGGCTAAGCCTGATTGTTGCGCCATTTTTGCAATCGCTTCATCGCTAGGAGAGTTGTTAATGTCGAAATGCGCGCGCAAAATTTTTAATTGTTCATCGGTGATGCGTGTTCGAGCGCGTTTCTGTCCAGCTGCAGCGTTAGCCTGCAAATAAAACAATCTTATAGTTTTATGTTTAAAAAAGTGTTGCTCTACTGCTTACCGCGTTATTAAATATCTATCAGTAGAAAAGAATCTGATAGGCATAGTAAACAGCAATGTTGAAACATTCCTTTATTTATATTTTGCGAAGTATATTAAATGCTTATCAACCATTTATAATTTTTTATGGAAACATCCCTTAAATCATTTTAATTACTAAAGATCGCCAACGGAAAATATATATAAAAAAACAATGTCCATAAAGTACTTTATTTTTAAGGTTTAGGCAATTAAGTCATTATAGGCAAAAAAAATATGTTTATTAAATAGACATGCGCATTTTTTATAACGAAAACTTTTGTACTATTTTATGTTTAAGTAACGAAATTTTTTCATCAATTGATTTACCCCAAAACTATTATTATATATCTATAAAACTATACTGAGACGTAATCAAAAATAATTAAAAAAAATTAAGTTGACTCAAAGTATCAATGTATTTGTAAAGGGCTCATTTATTTGCGGTGGTAAGGCGCTCGGCGATTGCAGGTAACTTTGAATAATAACTGAATCCGTTGCAAGTAATAATACTCCGACCCTACAAACCCAATAATAGATGGTCTGTTGCTTTGTGCAAACAGATAGCAGTCGCTTATCTAACAATGCGCCGTACAATTCTTGCCTTGCGATCGACTTTACACGGCAAAGCTGACAAATATCGACCGTTTAAAGATAAATATTAAAAGTTTTAAACATTATCAATATCAAACGATTATTGAATTACATTAGACTCCTCATATAACCACGTAGTATATTTATTAGTGTTGATTGAGTGTGAATACTTGATAAAGTTAATATTGACTCTTCGAATAAGTGATTTCCTGTCCTACGTCATTTGTTAGAGTCGTTAACACTTTATTGATATATTTAGTTCATATTTTATTAATTACACAGTATATTTGCAAGTAAAATAAGCATGTAGTTTTTAGAATACTGATATTTAAATGAGGTATAGTAAAAATGTTTTAATTGTGCTTTGGGGATTTTTCGATATTTATTGCGATTAATTTATAAATGCATCTTTAGGCACATATTCATGTATAATTGCTATTAAAAATTATCTTGTAGACGGTGTTTTTTTTGTATAGTTTGGTATGAAAGTTGAACCAATGTTAAATGTTAACAATCTATTAAGAATAAGTTTTTTACATAGTTATATGTGATTAATAAAATTGTCATTACAGACGTAATTATTATACAACATTTAATTGGAGTATATTCTAGTACGTATTTGTAAAACCGAATGAACCTTTTACTGTGTCATTTGGTACTTTTACATCTACAAATATATAAGAACACATATAATTGTGAATAGCACATTGCATTACATTGTATGTATCGAACGGGCTAGATCAATAAACCTTTTTATCAACTTACCCAATGGGAAAAAGTAAGTTCGGCATTAATTGCGACCCAAAACGTTTGGAATTAGTATAATATCTTAAACTTAAATGATAATTGAATATTCAAAAAATTTACGTAAATACGAATTAACCTTAACGTGATTTAAATAATTTTACAATTACCTGTTGCTGTTGCTGCATAATTTGTTGTTGTTTGAGCTGGGCGTCGTGAGAGAACGGCATCGCATCGAAAGGTGGAGGTGGCAGCATGAGAGGCACTAGCGGCGGCTGCAGATTCATGGCGGCCAGCGCGCCCACATTCAGTCCCAAAGGCAATCCTAGAGACAGCATCTGAGCCATCATTGGGTGCAGCTGCCCGAGTTGCTGCTGCAGCTGCAGCATGTTGAGGGCGGCCTGCATCTCCTGCACCTGCGCAGCCAGCAGTGCGCCTGCTTGCGCCTCGCCCGCACTGCTCCCATTCTCATTGAAGCTACCGTTGGCATCTCCTCGCGGTGAAGGCGACCTCTCGTCTCGTGGCGCGGGTGATGCGGCTCGCGGTGAATTGGGCGCTCCTGATTTTCGTTCATATTCCGATTTGAACTGCTCGGCGAATTGCTCCAAAAACTCTAACGGAACTTTATCCTTATGCACTTCTTCACAGTGAGTTTTTAAAACGAACACACTAGAAAACTCCTTATTACAATGTTGGCACGTCGACTTCGATTCGTTATCCGGGGGCTTTTCCTCGGGCGGTGGGGGCGGCGGGCTCGGCGCTCGCGCCATTTCGCGCTCTTCTTGCATTTTTCGCCGTTGGTTCTCATTGTATTGCATGACGAGATCGAAGCCGAAAGTCTCAAGTAATTGTTTATACATTTGTGAGTTTCGTTTGGGCGGATTTCCCTTGGCTACCATCTCGTCCAGAGCGGCTTGCTCCGCTTCTCCTAGCGGTGAGTGCGCCCGCGCATCGCTAAACGGGCATAAAGTCGCACGATGTGCGTCGAGTAGCTCTCCGTTCGGAAATGACGCGTGGCACCGCTCGCACGCGGCGCTACCTGCGCGAGGGGAGCGAGGGCTACCTGGCCGCGCGGGGGGTGAGGAACGGGGCCCCCCGCTGCTTGTTGAAGAAGGGGATGTATTTTTCGGCGACAACACGTCTTGTAATATTTTGGCGGGGTCGGGCTTATCGGGCTGCTCTACTAAGGGCCGCGTCAAGTCCACGTGACCGGCCGCGGCGAGCTCCTGTAGTTTTCCCGCGCGCGTCTGGTGTAGCACAGACCTCATGTGAATGTCTAGCGTGCTGCCCTGTGTGTAAGCGACTTTACATATGTTGCACTTGTATCGTTTTCGGTCGTCTTCTTCACTCGAGGTGCTCTTAGGTGTGAGTGTCAAATTAGAGGGAGCTGTCCCAGCCCCCGGCGACACCGGAGGGTTATTGTTATTCTGTTGTTCTTGCATCGCCCTTTTTAATTTGTGTAAATGACTGACACTATTATAATGAACGAGTAAAATATTCTTTTGCGTAAACGACTCCTTACATACGTCGCATTTAAAGGGTCTATTGGGATCGAGATATTTCTCCATTGGATACGTTAATTTTTCGCCTTTTCTATGTAGCAGTGTTTTATTATGTGCAGTCAAATAAGATTGGCGTGTGAACGCTACTTTGCATCGATGGCATTTATATTTTCTATTCGGGTCATTGTATGAATCTTCGGCCATCGCCTGTGAATTTAAATAGTCTTCTAAAAATTGTTGGTCTTTATAAATTATAGAATCATCAGAATTTTCAGCATCGTTGTGTCCCGACTCATCGGCTGCATTAGCGCTGGAATCTCTGTCGTCTATTTCACCTAATTCATCGTCGGGCGTTCTAAGAGCTTCTTTGCGCAATAGGTCAGCCATAGCCGGGTCTAATGCGGTGCCTTGATTAGATTGCAACAAAGGATTTGTCGCTAAACTTCGTTTAAATGCAGCGAGATCCTCTTCAGAGATGTCGGTGTGAGAAGTTTCTACGTGTTTTTGTAGAGCCAACACTGAGCGGAAGTTTCGGCCACATATTGTGCATTTTGTAGCGTCACGTATCACGTGGTATTGAGAATGTAGCTGTAGTTTCTCTATTGTTTTGAAGGCTAAACTGCACTGATTACATCTGAATTTATACACATGCTTTTCTGACACGGACATATTCGCAGTCGAGTTTCGTGCATGTGCTTCTCTAAAATGATTTTGTAAAGCGTGACCGGTATCGAAGTATCTGTTGCATCCTTTCTTCCAACAGAAGTATCCAGGCCCTTGTGGAGTTTGTTTCAATTCCAAATGGCCGGACTCGTTTTGATGATGACACAGCTCATCTACGTTGCGGAAGGTCCTGTTGCACGTCAAACATCGCTCTGTTTCGCCATCCACGCTGCCTTCCGATCGTGGCGAGGAAATCTCTCTGTCATCGTCACCTTGTCGCGTCTCTTCTCTCTTTGGTTGAGCGCCACCATTTAGCCAATGACTTTGGTCGACGAGAAGAAGCAGCCGCTGTAAGCCTTCGGAGTTAACTGAATGTATTTGCATAACATGTCTCTCAAGGGCCGGCCGATCTTTGAAGGCATCTTGGCACAGCGGGCAAATAAAATGCGAAGAAGTGTCTCCGTGTACAGAAGTAACATGAGAGTGTAATCTGGACTCACTTCCACAACTAAAATTACAATATGGGCATGAGTGAGGTCCGGGGGTATCGTGATCGTCTTCCCTCTCACTGGGACCCTGCTGAGGCTGTAGTTGCGGTGGGGGTTGTTGTTGGAGTTGTTGTTGTTGTTGCTGCTGCTGTTGTTGTTGCTGTTGTAGTTGCTGTTGTTGGAGCTGCTGTTGTTGTTGTTGATGGTGTTGTTCCAAAAACCGCATCATTTTCTGTTCTTGAGTTAATTCAGGCTTTTGATCAATCAGTTCTTTATTATCTGTTAACAAAAGAAGATGCATTAGGATATTTTTACTACATCCGAATCAAATTTATAAATAAACAGTGACGAACCATCCTCTACTAGATCGGTATTGCAAATGAATAACAACTCATACGCTAAGCCATCGCCACCTATGCATCTACGTGAGATTTATCTACAAAAAAATTATTTCTATAAATGAAGCCAACCATTGTTCGGTGCCAACGTTTGTTACTTTTCTGAATTGAAGTTAAAAATAAAATTCTTCTCCTTTATATTATTAGTACGAGTCGTTTTGTTTGGTCGTCCCGGCAAGACAAAGGTATCGGCCTATCCATCCCGTACGCACACATGCGCGGGGCATTAATGTTAACGTAACAAGTATATTGTAATTTCGCACACAAAGAAGATACAGGACGAGCAAACAATCATTGTTCATTATTACAAAAGGTTTCGAATGTTTCGTTTCGCATCGGATCAAATGTATCGGGATAGTGACGTACTCTCATGTGACGTATTGTGCGAGTGAGAGAAGTGTATGTGCAGAAGATGTGTGAGTGCAATTATTATTTGACCAGGGATATGTCCGCGGGAGCGTGTGAAAGGAGCCGGCCCGCATTGTTTACGCTCAAATAAGGAAGGTGAATGAAAACGCCGATACAAAAACCGTCAAGGAATCCTTAATAAAATATTATAATAATATTCTATTTATCGGATAAATAAATGTCATCTCATGTACAAAATGATCATTTTTAATTATAAATCCCAACACAAATACATGCATATACGAATTTGTGCTTAAATTTGCGATCTCACTGTAAGAAGTTTACTTTATTAAAGTAGGTATCAAATAGTTAAAGCTGAGAAAAATTATGACTTATGAAGTTTAATTTCACTTAGTGAATAATTTAGTGGTAAAATAATTAGTTAGCGCGATTATCCCACAGTAACGACGTCTGAAACCAGTCTTCCCCTATGGGGGAACCCGTTCTATAGTTTTACGCAGTTAAAACCGTTACATCTAATGAAGGGGCGAGGGATAAGCGAATCTTGATGCATAATAATAATCAGGGTCCAAGTGACCCCAATAGTGGACCGGAGTGACCGGTGGACATAATTATTTATGATGTAAAATCGTCGTCCCACTGTCTGCTAGGAGCATAGAACAATGGCCAGGTAAAGCGACCTTCTCTGCATAAATACGATCTCGACTGCTTTTTGTCAATGGACAAAAGATCTTTTCTAAGGAAAACACCACATCGTTATAGCATCGTAAAGTAGGTATTGTGCAGTGTGAGTTTTGTTTTGCGAGATTTGGGTCAGAATTTTTACAACGTGGCGTCTGGGCTATGAGACGTGATTCAAATATTTTATTGTCCTGCAAGTCATCTGAATTACCTGAATTATATCATCGTATTCTATAAATGCGACTGTGGTAAATAAGTCTTTTTCGTTACTGTAGCATTCACCTTAAGAGATTATGTATCGCTATGCTATTTTTCTGTGGCAATTTTTTTAAATCTTAATTGTTCATTATTTTGGAAAATTTTAATTAAGCTTAGTAAGAATTAATCTCCTATACTTAATAAGATGTGGGTCTAGCAAAGTATTAAATTATTCTGAGTGCTGTTTGTATAAAGGTCACAGTCGCCATTTTTTTTTAAATTTAAAACCCAACTTTTTATCAATTTGTCCAAGATTCTGATAAGATGAGAGGGCTATATTTTTGGTGGGGTTCAAAAAGAGCACAACTATATGTATGCTTAAAAATGACAACATTTCGTAAATTTAAATTTTTATAAAAAACATAACATATCCATCGTAAAATTAAATATTTTTAACAGAATTAAAAATGTTTATAATTACAAAACAAATTTTCGTTAATATATTCTTTCTCAGAGGGTTTCCTACTGATTTAAAACGAATCAATAGTAATTGGTAAGTCTTAAAATTTATTTGAACGGTAGTCGTTTAAAGCGAATACTCAATAAGGTGAAAATAAGTAATAAACATAAACATGAGGGACACAATGCTGTAAGCCGGATTTCTTTCGCCTCCACATTTCTCTCGGAGTTTATCGTATTTCGCCGCGCCTATAAACATTCGTGGGACGACAGCGACGCGAAATTGTGAAATGATGTACCTGCCTCATCACAAGGGGCAATCATCCTTAATGCGCAACGGCCACATACGTAATGCGAGTCATCGGCCCGCGTGCTGGTACTTATGGAAAATTCGCGTTCTCAATTCAAATCTTGTGTCCGTCTCCCTCGCGCGCGGGGCGGAGCCGCCTCCGACCAATGACCGAGTCACGCCGCGGCGACACCGTGCAAGGCGTACGTTATTAAAGAAACCTGTTCTAATGTTGCCCGCTTTAAATTAAATTTTGTTCGTGTGTAATTATCTCATTATTGTCATTACGAATTCCGCGCTAAATGCTCATCGCTCAAAATGGTGATTACCTCTCGTATTGGACGCGAGGCGACGACAATGTGTCCTCGGAGGCCACGCCAGGTTCACTCCGGTTTGGATCAAACCGGCAAAATTAATACGAAACAGATTGTATGTTTATTAACACGATCTAGTAAAAGAGTTCACTTTGTAAAAAAAACGCATAACAAAATTGATTAAGGAACGAATCGGTTTAAATTGGAAACCGATAGTGACGTTTCGAAATCACATTCATAAGTCGATTCTCGTATCGACTTTATCGATACGAACTCCAGTAATGGTTTCGGTTGAATTAATTTTAATGGGATTTTCACGCTTTATAGAGTAAAATGTTACGAAATGTGTTTAGCACGAGAGTAATAAATAATAAATATATTTCGCTTCTGTTTGCCGTTAAAAAGGTTTACGCGTTCACCGACAGCTATTCAGAAAAAAAAACGCCTAGTTAGATAAGGTGCGCACGCGCATCTAATTGCTTTCCGAGTGAGGTTTTTTCGTACTATAGAGTTTGGAACACTGAATCGTTTTTATTTAAGATTTATTCGTAACATTGTCTTTTGTTTAAAACCACGGTAAATAGAGACAATCAATCGAGGAAGTTAGTCTAAAATAATAATAACAATTGAACGGTCGCGGTTCGCAAGCTTTGAATGATGTATTAATTATTTCCTGGTTCCTAACAGCTTTGAAAATCTGAGGAAATATTAGTTTTTAAGTAACATAAAGTATTAATTAATTTTAATTTGCAAGGTCAACCTCTAGATATTAGAGAGGATCGTCAACGTTTATATACTGGTTTATATAATGCAATTCACTAACCTTCTTGTTGATCATAGGGGCTGGGAAGCTCTGGTGGCTGCGGAATCACTTGGAACAGCTCGGCCACGTCAGGCGTGGGGTCCTTGCCCTCGGAGCGACGCTGCAGTTGATGTATTTGTTCCATTTGCAAGTGCTTAACGGAGCGCACGTGTTGTAACAAGGGCAACCGGTGTGGGGCCCCGAACCCGCAGAGCGCGCAGCGGTACACGCGAGCGCGGTCGCGCGGAATTCTTGCCGCACATTCGCGGATGTGTCTCAACAGCAGCGTGGCGGCCTCGTGCCGGGCGCCGGCAGCGTGCAGCTGCAACTTATGCGCGGAGTTCGTATAATAATCGCAAGCGCAGCATCGGACTTGCACTCCGCCGACGCCCGCGCCACTTGTTCCTATTCCCCCGCAGAATTTTAATTTCCATTCATTTCGTGGCCCACCTTCTTTTACATGATTAACATGTTGCAGTCGTTGAAGGTGCTTGTCAGTTTTGCAATGAAGCTGAAAGTTAGCTTTGAGGTTAGTTTTATATGTGCATAATTTGCACACGTAGTGACCTGCGACCAATGCCAATATCTCCTGCTCTCGTATCTTAGTGCGGTCTTGTGCCAAATGATGACCGAGCGCTTCTAACGAGTCGGTCGAGAAGCAGTTGCAAATACAACAATGGAAAGTTCTTTCCGGCTCAGGATCTGCCGGCTCGGGCGGCGGTTCCATTGCTTCTGGGTTTAACCCGACGTCGAGATGCGCTCCTAATTCAGGAGGCGATAGTCCGGGTCCTCCAGTCATAAGTTGGATCATAAGAGCTTGATTGTACGCCATGTCTGCGAGCGCCGCTTCTGGGTTAGGAGGGGGCGCCTCGCCGCTGTGGAAGTGCAGCAAGCTCTCAAGCTGCTGCTGGCTCTGCTGCCTGTGGTGTAGCGCGGACAGCGTTTGCATGTGCTTTACATTCTGCTGCAGTACAAGCATATTATGTGTGTGCTTTTCTGAGGTCATGTGTATCCGGAGATTGCGTGCAACGTTTGTCTCGTAATTACACACATCACAGCGAAACGTCGGCTTTGGCTTCTGACCCAGGGGCGAATGATGAGGTAGCGGCGGCTTGTGCCCGCCTGGTGGCGTATGCTGCGGTGCCGGAGGTAACGAGCTTTCACCGGGGTTACCACCGTTCTGTAGTTCTTGCATATTATTTAAATGCTTATCTGACTGCATATGAATACTGAGATTGCCTTTCGTCGTTGTAGAGTAGTTGCAAACTTCGCACCTGTACGGCTTGTAGCCGCACGTGTATGTCTCTCCCCGGGCTAATCGAGGGTGAGGCTGCCCAGCGATACAGTAAATGCAACTCGTTTCGGCTTCCGGGTGTTTCTCTTTCATGTGTATCTCTAATGTTTCTTGGTATTTATAGTGCCAATTACATTTGGGACATTTTAATGTCTTGCAGGAATTACGGCTATGCATGCCGGCAAGGGGTCCACCGAGCCTTCCGGAATTCAAAATAAGTTCGCACTTCGGACAATCCGCACCTGAAGGTCTGCCGCCGAGATGATCCGGACATACTCCGATCGTGGTGCCCGACAGGAAGGCGGGAGGGGCAGTTTGAAATGGTGGTGAAGAATTAGGACTAGTGCGAGGTTGTACCGAGGCATTTATCGTATGTGGATGCGCTACGGAGATCAAGGAATGTTGTGGAAGCAGAGATTCCGCTATTGAACGCGGTGGCCTCCACGACGGTGGGCTTGGTCTTCTGTCGTCGCACGATCCGTTCGGTAACATTGAATCGTGGTCTCGATCCGGAGTCATATTTTCTAATCTCTTTTCTACCGAAGGGCTCGATAGTTCCGACATATTGGCGGGACTGCCCGACATCGAGGCACGCGGTGGCGCCGCTGCACCGACGGGTTCTAAGAATGACACTAATGGCTCCTTATCTTTTCCAACACATTGTATGATCGCGGACGCATTTTCTCTCGATAAAGCGTCTCTTTCTGAATCTAGTAATGATAAGCTATGGTCCGATTGCGCATGCGCCACGAAGGATTTGGCGTATCCGAAACTCAATTTACAAATAAAACACATAAGAATTGGTTTGACCGGCACGCTGACGGGGCACTCGGCGGGCGGCGATGGCGGTCTGGGAACGTCTTTACCGCCACGGAAACTGAACACTCGATAGCTGTGCATGACGGGGGCGTCGGGCCTCGCCCGCGCACGCTCCGCTGCTAAACGACCGTATAGGGCTCCATATAATGAGGAATTTCTTGATACGTAGAATGCACTCGCTATTTGAGGGAATTCGAGATGTTTCTCGACGATGTTGCTGTCTCGGCTGTCGACGATGCACCCGGGTTCGATCTTCGGTAAATCAGGGAGGCTTGTCTCGCCCTCAGACATCTCCGGATCCTCGATGATGTAGGCGGATCCGTCAGGGTTGTAGACAATCTTGCCGTCGAAGCGCTCGACGTCCGAGGAGAGCGGAGGCGAGTCTCGTCGCGAGAGGTCCACGGCGTCCGGAGCAGCGGGCGGCGAGGTGGGCGCGAGGCCGGCGGGAGGAGCAGGGGCCGCCGGGGCCGCCGGCACGTTGCGGGGCTCCTCCTCGGGGCTCATGTCACCGTCGTCGTCGTCGTCGGGCCTGAGCGCGGCCGAGCTCTGGGGGTCGTCGCGCTTGCGGCGCCGCTTGCGCTCGGGGGGCGGGCCGCTAGCGGGGCCGCCGGCCTGCAGCGGCGTGGGCATGGCGCCGGGCGTCAAAGGCCGGCATCACATGCTCTCCTGAAACGAAACATCATAGCATGAGCATAAATAATAACACCAAAATGCTACTCTACATATAGCTAATTGTAATAAATAAAAACCTACTAAAACTCGCGATTAACAAAGAACCGATAAGTTAACAGTTATATTACGTAACTTGGTAAATTCTCACGAATCGAATCGATTGGTACGATTCAAGGTGAATTTTGAATACATGTTGGTAATGAGTTCGTATCGGCCGGAAGAAGGTGGAGTCGTTTTGTATCGCTCATCTTTGTTTACCAAATGTTTATATAAACGAGGTAAACAATGTAACTTTATAAATCAGAGTCGGTTCCATCAACAATCAGGTTTTGTAATGTATTTCAGTTTAAGTTTTTTCTTACGTAGTTTTAATATAACTACCTACTGAAATTAAAACATTCGATAGGTACTAAATAGTTCCTTATCGGAACTAGTGTTTGCGCAAACAACTGTGATCAATTTATCCGTGTGACAGCTTGTCAACGCTGTCAATGCTGACATTTTTACAATTAAGAAACCAAGTATGTTGGAGCTCGGTAAACATAGATTCGATGATTAGGGAATTCGTTCTAGTACGAATATGCTCCTTAAACACTTATGACATTAAGAGTGTAAATGTATAAAAGCATCTTATAAACATATTCGATAAAGTATCCGTATAATCTAGAATAAAAATTCGTTAAAAACCAAGATTAACTCGTCATCTCTGTTATCTGTTAGCTTATCAACGATATCTGTATTTCACAAACATCTAACGAGGGCTCCAGTAATATATTTAGTTAGGTGACAGCATTCTGATGCCTAATCGTCATAAATGACATATCACATGGAAAAATTTATTGACTTAGTGAATAAATTCTCACGATGGTATGTATGCTATGATATTGCACAAGTCATAATTTGTATAAATTAAAAATAACATTTATATATTCTTTCGTTAATTTTTTTTTATTTCCAAGTAAGATAATTAAAAAAAAAACTAATAGGACAGTACCTATAATACGTACTTAAATTAAAAAGTTAATCAATCGCCTACCAGACTAGTCTAGTATGTCAAGAGATATGAATATATAGTATGTTTCTAAAACTTGAAAAAACAAACTTTTTAGAATATTCTTAGTCAATTTTGTATAGAATTATAATTTAGTTAACTGATAAATAAGACACACTTGTAAGAATTAATATTCGTCAGGAATAAAGCGTCCTTTGATTCGTTCCCGGCAAACGTTGTAACAAATATTTACATTGGTATCGTACCATAGCGTAATGTAAATTATCGTATAATCATATTATAAGTATCGAACGACGGTTAACAAAACAAACATAAATAGGCGCGGCCGTGGCGTGGAAGAATTACCGAAACGGCCAAGGCCTTGTAATGCTGAAAAAAAAATTCTAATTTGAATGCACGGTTTATCATCGACATCCGGTATTAAGCTAGGAATATAATTTCGAGTTAATTTTTATATTTTATTATCTATGGTTCACACATCCTGTACGTTATTAGTCAGACTGATTAACTAATCATTTCGTAATACCAAATTACTCATTTAATTTGCAAGAATTGACCACTTCACTAATTATATGTAAATGATCATTTTGTTAACGTATCAAGGAAAACAATAACTCACCACTTATACAGGGATGTTCAAGATTTGAAATTAGATAAAAATACTAATAAGAAACGATATAGATATGACTTATTTTCCCTTGAAATAACTAATTAAAATTTATAGCATTTTATTACATATACTAATGTAATTCATTGCAAAAAATTAACTAGTATTTACCATCAACGCAGATGACATTGTATAGACATTAATTATGTCTGTAATTATTGTGGGTTTTCTCTGCAACAGTAATTTGTAAATCATTTCGCAGATTACTAATGTCTATGGAAATTACACGAGTTGGTAATTAGAGATGCGAATGTGAGGTTGTTTAATAATTTCCCTATTCATTTATTTGTAACGTTCGATTTAAATGCGATCCAATTGGAATTTAAATCATTTAGCGTGTATTAGAATGCAACGCGTTTCCAAACGTCGATCTATTTGTGCAATGGTGGACGCGCGACGACTGTTGACGCGGGAATGTATCATTAAAAACGAAACAAATGCGTAATCATAAGGGTTCAATTGATATGGCAGTAATTTCTATTTTGCAAGTGCCGTTTTAAACTGGCACTTCTAGAGATAAATGTTTAATGCAGGCACACGTGCCGGCCTTCCCATGGTAACAATCAGTGGCGTTGTCAATTTCCATTGATGGGCCGGCGTTCGAAGCAGAACTAATTTCCAATAAACACGCACACACAAGACTTTTACGTGTCTTACAACACTAGTATATAAAATTGAGCGTGTGAGCGTGAGAAAACCACCGCAAATATATGTATATATATGAATCTGGTGTACATTACAATGCTTTATGTATGCGAATGAACAATTTGTGTCAAACACACATACTGTGAGTTCGCACACTATTATGTTGCCCGCATCAAATTAGACATTAACAAATTGTTAGCGAAGTACGTAATGAAGGTGTGCATTTTAAAATTGTTTTATTTTTTATGTTTTAAAGTGCAAGAGGATATCATTCTATCTCTCCATTCACTCATATAACTAATAATGGCAAAACAAATACTACATTTTATAAAATGGTTGCGCATTTCACAAATTTACTTCATAACGAAGTAGAAGGGTTTTCATATTAATAATGCTCTATTATTTCCCAAGCCCTCATTAAAGCAGTTACGTGAACCGCAGAACAGAGCGAAATAATTACCTCGCAACCAACTCTTCACGAATACATCGTAAATGCATAATAAACTGCATCTAGTACGTCGATGAATTACAATAAATAAGGTATTAAGCAGTTGATGTCTGACGGTGAACCGAAAAATGTCGAATAGCGATTAATGGATATAAAATTAAACGCATTCCGGTCGAACGATTTACTTAATACGTCGATAATAAGCGTAGGGTATGTAAAATGTACGTAATGGTGGTAGCCTCGTTAGATGTGGGAAAGATGGTGCTCGACGGTACAAGGTACAGATCGCGTCCGACATTGTCCTCCGTTAGGGCTCAACTTTAAAGCTTCATTAATGATAATGGTTCTGAACTCGATGGGAATGGACCTTTTTGCTTGCGCCCGCACCTTTTCAAGATGTTACAGTAATAGCTCACCGATACAAGACGAACAATGCTCATTCGATAAAAGAACTGTACCTACCATCATTTATCGACCACATTGGACGGAAATAGAATTAAACATCGAATCTTTTAATCGATCATAATCCAACTGATATTATAAATGCGAATGTTTGGATGGATGGATATTTTTTAGAAGATATCTCCAGAACGACTGCATGGATTTTGCTGAAATTTGGCATAGGTGTAGAACATAACCTGGAAGAACACATAGACTACTAAATATTTTTTTTTATTTAGCACGGACGGAGGCACGTACGATAGCTAGTATTTAGTAATCTTAAAAATGAAACATTATTTTATTTCTTCTAAATTGTTCAAATGAAAAAGAAATCTAGCCAGCGTCAACGAGAAACCATCAATTAGCATCAGTTTTCTAGTGGTCGTCCGATTTGACATAAATAGCTATTATGCTGCGAGTTACCGTAGCACGAACCGGGGTTATGTACACGAATATCTAATGGAGAAAGCTCCTATTACAACCATTTTTATTTACAAATACAAAGTGACACTGCAAATTCGCTAATAAAGCCAACAGTGTGTAATTACTAATAAGACTTTCGACTAAGATGCGAAATGGCGGAGTAATGAGTCAATAATTCGTATCTGTGCCCATTAATTTGTTAAGATAATTAAGAAAATTTAAGACAATTTACTCCGAAAATTTTAAGCATAATAACGGGGCGTTATAATGTTATAGCAGACATGGTAATCTTCAAGCCCAAATCGAAGCGCATAGACGATTTTTGACTTATTTGCTTTTAGTGATAATTGTGTAAGGCGCCATTGACTTTCCGGTTTAAAAGTTATTTACATTCATAATATTTTTAACAACAGTTTTTGTGATTGTTATAAAAAGTCACTACTGATTTTTGTAGTTAAATTTTATTTTCAAGTATTATCATATTACTAGTTTTGGTAGGATTGGTATTTTTATAATAAGGCTAAACTTGTAAATTGCATGACCTAGGCTTTCGTGGTTCTGTGGTGGTGTTTGTCTGGACAAGGACGAGCATCGCGTGAAGGCTGCAGGTATCCTGGCAGGCGCCACTCGTCCGCTGTTCTGTTAGGAACCGTCAATTTGCGTCTGTAATTATCGCGGACCCTTCGATACTTATTTCTATTTTTTCCTCGGCTTAATTGTTGCAACAGATGACTTTTTTGTCGAACCACCTCAAAGAGAGCGGAAAGGCATCAAACGGAGCGTCGAATTTGGAAATAATTATACATAAATAGTCCCTTGAGCGGCCGATTAAGACAATTTCCGAGCAAATTGCCGCAGACGAGTATAATAGCACACACTCCTCCGTCATAAATAAATCTGGATTACTTTTCTGTACAAGATTAAGATTGATTCGATGCCGACGCTTTCCGCTATTAATGGGTGCTCGGATAAAGCATCGGTCGCGTTAAAAAATTTAAATCATTACACTGGTTTTTCGTGCGTGTGATTTGTAAGATAATTACGTTCGACAAATTGCCGGGCGTCATTAAAAGATAACGGGTGGCTATCGGCGGGTCGCTCGGTCGTCCGGACGGTCGGACGGTCGGTCGGTCGGTTGTAATTAATGATCGATACATGTGAAATAATTAATTAGCGACTGGGGATCGGATCTAAGGCGCCTCGGGCTGCGCACAAAAAACAATGACATGCGGTTTGTCCGCGGCGCCGCTGGCTGGCGGGCGCGGTGCGGCGGACGCGACATCAGCCGCACTGCCTGTAATTTGGAAGACCTCGAATTAGTTTTAATCTCATTTCTCGACGTCGAGCGTGACGACTCA